CTCACCAACAACCACATACCACACAACAGAACCACTAACCCAGGAACTTATCCTTGCAACAAAGCCCGTTGCCAATTGTGCCCACATATCTATTCAGGGGACACCATCACAGGGCCTAATAACATCAGCCACACTATCAGAGGCTCGTTCACCTGCACATCCACCAATGTGATATATGCCATCATGTGCCAGCAATGCCCCTCTGCCATGTACATTGGTCAAACTGGACAGTCTCTACGTAAAAGAATAAATGGACACAAATCAGATGTCAAGAATTATAACATTCATAAACCAGTCGGAGAACACTTCAATCTCTCTGGTCACGCAATCACAGACATGAAGGTCGCTATCTTAAAACAAAAAAACTTCAAATCCAGACTCCAGCGAGAAACTGCTGAATTGGAATTCATTTGCAAATTGGATACTATTAATTTAGGCTTAAATAGAGACTGGGAGTGGCTAAGTCATTATGCAAGGTAGCCTGTTTCCTCTTGTTTTTTCCTACCCCCCCCCCCCAGATGTTCTGGTTTAACTTGGATTTAAACCTGAAGAGTGGTCAGTTTAGATGAGCTATTACCAGCAGGAGAGTGAGTTTGTGTGTGTATGGGGGTGGGGGAGATGTGAGAAAACCTTGATCTATGCAGGAAATAGCCCGACTTGATTATGTAAAGAGTTGTCACTTTGGATGGGCTAGCACCAGCAGGAGAGTGAATTTGTGTGGGGGGGTGGAGGGTGAGAAAACCTGGATTTGTGCTGGAAATGGCCCACCTGTTGATCACTTTAGATAAGCTATTACCAGCAGGACAGTGGGGTGGGAGGAGGTATTGTTTCATATTCTCTGTGTGTATATAAAGTCTGCTGCAGTTTCCACGGTAAACATCTGATGAAGTGAGCTGTAGCTCACGAAAGCTCATGCTCAAATAAATTGGTTAGTCTCTAAGGTGCCACAAGTACTCCTTTTCTTTTTGCGAATACAGACTAACACGGCTGTTCCTCTGAAACTTGCTACGTTTGGGTTTCCCTGCATTGCCTGATGAAGTGTGTACAGTATCTTCTTACACAGCAAAGTGTCCTTGAGAGAGTGGCATGTGGGCTGGAAAATAGGGCAGTAGCCTTTTGCAATACTTACCTGCAATTTTCTGCATTCTTCTACTGTTGCTTAACAGATAAAGATTTCAGACATGTTATTTGAATTACAGCAATGCCCAGAGGCGCCTCACTGTGCTGGTTGTTGTACAAACACAGTAAGAAACAGAGCCTGCCCCAAAGAGCTTTCAGTCAATGGCCTTGCTTCACTGTTAGCACTCAAACATATATTTAATTCTAAACATGTGGTTATGGCCCATTGACTTCAATGGGCTACAAGCACAAGCTTAAAGTTAAACATATTTAAGTGCTCTGCTATATCAGCTCCTAAATAGATAAGAAAGGGTAAGGAGAAAGGAAGCAATTTTCTGCTTACTCAGACATTTCTCCCTTTGACTATCTTCTTTTCTTTGATCATGCAGTGAAGTCATAACCGTGTGTGTGTGAGAGCATTATTGAACTACTGCCATAAAGAAGACTATATCAATAACTCAGTAATAGGACTTCACTTGTGGGGGGAGATGTATAGAGGAGTGGGGGAGGGAGGGAAGAAAGAGAAGAACATAGTTATTGCATATTGCAGAAGGAAACCACTAATGAAGTAAAATATTTTTGATAGCTGGCAATAATGGAAAGAAACTGTATGAATGATGCATGAAAGACAAATGGATTAGTGCTTAAATGAGATCTCAGATCACGGAAAACCCTCTGCCCTCCTGTAGGGTTATTTTTATAATTTGATTTATTAAAGATTTGGCAGAAGAAAAATGCTTTTGAACAAAATGCATTACAGGAGTTCTCCTGTCCCTCCCACAGTATACACCACTCATTGTCAGATACTGGGAAGCACTATACGTGATTAAATAATGATGGTTAATAGTTGTTAATCTATTTCTACACCATCAGGCATTTGCTTAAAGTGCTGTAAAAGTTGTCTAGTGTTACTCTCACACTTGACATTTATGTTGTTTCAGCAGGACTCAAGAGATGTGCTTTTCTGTTTTTTAACTGTCAGTGGGATTTTTGCTTTATCCATTAAATATATATTTACCATTTTATTCATACCTGTTTAGTCAGAGCCAAGACATCACTCATGACGGAGGCCAAGGATAACCTTTAACATTAAATTGGAGGCTTGCCACAGGCTGTATTCTAGCTGTACAGTTTATTTCCTTAGCAAGTTACTCATTTTCTTTGGGATTTGAATGTAATGCCGATACAGCAGAAGTAGAGGGGTTAAGCTATGGGTGATGAAAGTGATTAGAGGCATGAAGAGAGAGTGAAACAATTAGGATTGGTGAATTCAGGGGAAGCCTAGAAAGGCTGGAAACGATAGGGGTATGTAAAGCAATGAAAGGTTAAACAGGAGCTCCTTCTCTGTGCCAGTCTCATAATACAAGAACAAAGAAACAGCCAATGAAACTGAAAGGCAGTGCATTTAAAACTGAGCAAATTTAAAAAAAAAAAAAAAAAAAAAAAACATAGGGCATGACTAGCACATGAACTCACAAGGTATCCTTGAGGCCAAAAGCTTGTTGGATTCATAAAAAGACTGTAAATTTATATTGATAATGAGAATATTCCTAGTTACATCAAATAGAATAAAAAACACAAGGACTATAAACCCTCAGACGTCAGGACATAGGCCAACCTCTAATAGAAGGGATTAGGAACTTCCTCTGTAAGCATGTTATTGTGTAGTTTCTCACTTCAGGACTCCTTGCACTTTTCTCTGAAGCATCTGATTCAGGCCATTGTTAGTGACTGGATGCCTGACAACAAGAACCAAACAGGTGTGATTCAGTCTGGCAGTTCCTATGTCTACATAATGGAGCCGATCTATTGTTAAGAGTTATTCCCAAAGTCTAATGCATCCAATATCAAATGAATAATTTTTATAACTATTTAATATTTTATCTGCTGCTGCCTGTTCCAGTGCACATAAGAACCTTACTCTCCTTCAAATCCTTCTGCTCCCGCCCCCACTTTGCGTCTCGTTTCTCCATCCAGTCTGCTCAGGAGTGTTCAAGTACTGCTGCAGCAGCTTGCCGTGACTGGATTGTACAGCTCCTAAAAATCCTCCCCTAACCAGGGAGAAACCGTCACATCCCTAGATAAGCTGTGCCCTTATTTCTAGTCTGAACATGTCTAGCTTCAGCTTCCAACCATTGGATCTCGTTAGGTCTTTTTCTAATAGGTTCAAGAGCTGTCTACTCCAGGAACTCTCGTCCCCAAGCAGGAACTTGTAGACCATGATCAAGTTACCTCTTAACTTGCTCTTTGATTAAACAGATTGAGCTTCTTTAGTCTAACTGGAAGGGATGTTTTCCAGACCCCTGTTATTCTTGTAACTCTTTTCTGTGCTCTTTCCAGTTTGGTCAACATTCTTCCTCTTGTGAGAATTAGAGTATAAATTAAATCCTAGAAATTAGAGTTCTGCTAATGGAATTTATCCCTTTAAATTAATACAAAACTAAAAAAAAATAGCTAGCAACCTTAACAAAGCAGAGTTCAGTTTGCCCATATTTTACCTTTAAGGTGTTCACTAATACCTGCCTTGCAGAATGGAGTGGGGCCTAGGTCAAATTTAAAACCTTGTTGGAAATGTAGCTAAGTCACCTTGCCAATGACAGAAGGGGCAACCTCTCAACTCCTCCTGCTGCAGGAGTATGCATCCGACCATTCATCTGCTCAGAACATCCAAATGATTTACGCAGTATAGTGGCTAGTAACAGCTCCAAAATACCAGGTTTATTTTTGTGTAAGTTCTCCACAGCCCTTCTTGCCCCATGACATCATGGCCATGACTAAGGAGTTTAAAATAGCTCTCTGTAATGCCAAGCACTGTCCCATTTATACAATTTACATGTCCTGGCTTCTCCCAGCAGTCTGAGCTGTCCTGCCCTTTCTGATCTGCTCTCAGATTTCTAATGTGTTTCTAAGCTGCTGTTTGGAAGGTATTGAGATTCAAAACAAAAGGGGAAATATTTTGAAGGTCACTTATATCAAGAGTATGATACATTCAACCTTCAAAAGAAAAGGCTGATTTTGAAGTTGGACGAGTAACAGATAAAAATAACGTAATGTATCATTTATGTTATATGGGTGTTTATTAAAAAAATTCATTGCCATAAGCACCTCCAGAAAACCAAAGAATCAGAGTATGGCTGTAAACAAGAAAGGGGCTCTATGAATTCCATAATTTGGGCCTTATTCTGCCACAGGATACACACCCTAGCCCAGGGGTCCCCAACTTTTTAATCTCGTGCCACCCCCCCTCGGGCCCCGAGCTGGGACTGGGCCTCTAGTTCCGCAGGATGCGGACGGGGTAAAGGGGCCAAGGCTGGGGAAAGGGGCAGGGGAAGAACTAGGAGCGGACCAGAAGCTGGGGGCCGAGGCCAGCAGCCGGGGCCCAGGGCCCTGTAGCTGGGACCAGGAGGGGAGCTGGGTGACGATCTCTCCCCAACCCCTGTGGGGGCAAGCCCAGGCTCCCCCCGAATGGTCCTCTGCATTCCCCTAAGGGAGCGCACCCCACTGTTTGGGGACCTCTAACCTAGCCTCTTATTGAGCAGGCCCCTCATTCTCCCCAGATGGTTTTGTAATAGGGTGGTCGCTATCCAAGTCCCCCTTGTGGCCATGGCTTGCTTTGCAGGCACCCTGGCCATTAGCCTCCTTGTGTGGGCTCCTTAGCACTCCACAGTCTCTGTTGTAGATCACAGCACCACTACCTATGGCTGGTTTAATATCAAATAAGTTCATACAACCCTCAGAGGCCTTAATCACTAAACAATCCAAAAAATCCTCAGGTGACAAAGTCCATAATTCTACTCCAACAGCTCATACTTTACTCCAGTTCTTCTGCCACACCCAGAGCTCCTTCTCTGCCCTGGTCTACACTAGGGCTTTAGGTCGAATTTAGCAGCGTTAAATCGATTTAAACCTGCACCCGTCCACACAATGAAGCCCTTTATTTCGACTTAAAGGGCTCTTAAAATCGATTTCCTTACTCCACCCCTGACAAATGGATTAGCGCTTAAATCGACGTTGCCGGCTCGAATTTGGGGTACTGTGGACACAATTCGATGGTATTGGCCTCCGGGAGCTATCCCAGAGTGCTCCATTCTGACCGCTCTGGACAGCGCTCTCAACTCAGATGCACTGGCCAGGTAGACAGGAAAAGAACCGCGAACTTTTGAATCTCATTTCCTGTTTGGCCAGCGTGGCAAGCTGCAGGTGACCATGCAGAGCTCATCAGCACAGGTGACCATGATGGAGTCCCAGAATCGCAAAAGAGCTCCAGCATGGACCGAACGGGAGGTACGGGATCTGATCGCTGTTTGGGGAGAGGAATCCGTGCTATCAGAACTCCGTTCCAGTTTTCGAAATGCCAAAACCTTTCTGAAAATCTCCCAGGGCATGAAGGACAGAGGCCATAACAGGGACCCGAAGCAGTGCCGCGTGAAACTGAAGGAGCTGAGGCAAGCCTACCAGAAAACCAGAGAGGCGAACAGCCGCTCTGGGTCAGAGCCCCAAACATGCCGCTTCTATGATGAGCTGCATGCCATTTTAGGGGGTTCAGCCACCACTACCCCAGCCGTGTTGTTTGACTCCTTCAATGGAGATGGAGGCAATACGGAAGTAGGTTTTGGGGACGAAGAAGATGATGATGAGGAGGTTGTAGATAGCTCACAGCAAGCAAGCGGAGAAACCGGTTTTCCCGACAGCCAGGAACTGTTTCTCACCCTAGACCTGGGGCCAGTACCCCCCGAACCCACCCAAGGCTGCCTCCTGGACTCAGCAGGCGGAGAAGGGACCTCTGGTGAGTGTACCTTTTAAAATACTATACATGGTTTAAAAGCAAGCATGTGAAAGGATTACTTTGCCCTGGCATTTGCGGTTCTGCCTTTGCAAAAGGTTTCTGGGGAGGGCAGCCTTATTTCGTCCTTCATGGTAGGACACTTTACCACTCCAGGCCAGTAACACGTACTCGGGAATCACTGTAGAACAAAGCATTGCAGTGTATGTTTGTTGGCATTCAACCAAAATCCGTTCACGCGGTGGGAGGAGGCAAAATGCGACCTTGTAATGAAAGCACATGTGCTATGTATGTAATGTTAACAGCAAGGTTTACCCTGAAAGAGTGTAGCGACTGTTTTATAAAATGTGTCTTTTTAAATACCGCTGTCCCTTTCTTTTTCTCCACCAGCTGCATGTGTTTCAATGATCACAGGATCTTCTCCTTCCCAGAGGCTAGTGAAGCTTAGAAAGAAAAAAAAACACACTCGCGATGAAATGTTCTCCGAGCTCATGCTGTCCTCCCACACTGACAGAGCACAGACGAATGCGTGGAGGCAAATAATGTCAGAGTGCAGGAAAGCACAAAATGACCGGGAGGAGAGGTGGAGGGCTGAAGAGAGTAAGTGGCGGGCTGAAGACAGGGCTGAAGCTCAAATGTGGCGGCAGCGTGATGAGAGGAGGCAGGATTCAATGCTGAGGCTGCTGCAGGACCAAACCAGTATGCTCCAGTGTATGGTTGAGCTGCAGCAAAGGCAGCTGGAGCACAGACTGCCACTGCAGCCCCTCTGTAACCAACCGCCCTCCTCCCCAAGTTCCATAGCCTCCACACCCAGACGCCCAAGAACGCGGTGGGGGGGCCTCCGGCCAACCAGCCACTCCACCACAGAGGATTGCCCAAAAAAAAAGAAGGCTGTCATTCAATAAATTTTAAAGTTGTAAACTTTTAAAGTGCTGTGCTTAAAGTGCTGTGTGGCATTTTCCTTCCCTCCTCCACCACCCCTCCTGGGATACCTTGGTAGTCATCCCCCTATTTGTGTGATGAATGAATAACGAATGCATGAATGTGAAGCAACAATGACTTTATTGGCTCTGCAAGCAATGATTAAAGGGAGGAGGGGAGGGTGGTTAGCTTACAGGGAAGTAGAGTGAACCAAGGGGCGGGGGGTTTCATCAAGGAGAAACAAACAGAACTTTCACACCGTAGCCTGGCCAGTCATGAAACTGGTTTTCAAAGCTTCTCTGATGCGTACCGCACCCTCCTGTGCTCTTCTAACAGCCCTGGTGTCTGGCTGCGCGTAACCAGCAGCCAGGCGATTTGCCTCAACCTCCCACCCCGCCATAAACGTCTCCCCCTTACTCTCACAGATATTGTGGAGCACACAGCAAGCAGTAATAAGTGGGAATATTGGTTTCGCTGAGGTCTAAGCGAGTCAGTAAACTGCGCCAGCGCGCCTTTAAACGTCCAAATGCACATTCTACCACCATTCTGCACTTGCTCAGCCTGTAGTTGAACAGCTCCTGACCACTGTCCAGGCTGCCTGTGTATGGCTTCATGAGCCATGGCATTAAGGGGTAGGCTGGGTCCCCAAGGATACATATAGGCATTTCAACATCCCCAACAGTTATTTTCTGGTCTGGGAATAAAGTCCCTTCCTGCAGCTTTTGAAACAGACCAGAGTTCCTGAAGATGCGAGCATCATGCACCTTTCCCGGCCATCCCACGTTGATGTTGGTGAAACGTCCCTTGTGATCCACCAGAGCTTGCAGCACTATCGAAAAGTACCCCTTGCGGTTTATGTACTCGGCGGCTTGGTGCTCCGGTGCCAAGATAGGGATATGGGTTCCGTCTATAGCCCCACCACAGTTAGGGAATCCCATTGCAGCAAAGCCATCCACTATGACCTGCACATTTCCCAGGGTCACTACCCTTGATATCAGCAGATCTTTGATTGCGTGGGCTACTTGCATCACAGCAGCCCCCACAGTAGATTTGCCCACTCCAAATTGATTCCCAACTGACCGGTAGCTGTCTGGCGTTGCAAGCTTCCACAGGGCTATCGCCACTCGCTTCTCAACTGTGAGGGCTGCTCTCATCTTGGTATTCATGCGCTTCAGGGCAGGGGAAAGCAAGTCACAAAGTTCCATGAAAGTGCCCTTACGCATGCGAAAGTTTCGTAGCCACTGGGAATCGTCCCAGACCTGCAACACTATGCGGTCCCACCAGTCTGTGCTTGTTTCCCGAGCCCAGAATCGGCGTTCCACAGCATGAACCTGCCCCATTAGCACCATGATGCATGCATTGGCAGGGCCCATGCTTTCAGAGAAATCTGTGTCCATGTCCTGATCACTCACGGGACCGCGCTGACGTCGCCTCCTCGCCCGGTATCGCGTTGCCATGTTCTGGTGCTGCATATACTGCTGAATAATGCGTGTGGTGGTTAATGTGCTCCTAATTGCCAAAGTGAGCTGAGCGGGCTCCATGCTTGCCGTGGTACGGCGTCTGCACAGAAAAAAGGCGCGGAACGATTGTCTGCCGTTGCTCTGATGGAGGGAGGGGCGACTGACGACACGGCTTACAGGGTTGGCTTCAGGGAGCTAAAATCAACAAAGGGGGTGCCTGTACATCAAGGAGTATTTCAGGCAGGACTGCACGGAGGGTTCCAATAAGAAATGGTGCACCTAAGTTATCGTTGTTATTGGAACAAGGAGGTTAGCCTGGCCTCTGATTGATACATGGTTAGATTTACCTCGCTGCACCTTCTCTGTGAGTGACTGCAGTGTGACCTAGAGGAATGAGTCCCCTAGACAGGGGAGGAGGCAAATGAGTACAAAACAAATCTGGTCTATTTCTTGTTTTGACCCACTCCATCTATCTTTTACATCTTTGGCTGGCAGCAGACGGTGCAGAAGGACTGCATGCCATCCACATCTCATGGCTGCTCGGCAGAAGATGGTACAGTACGACTGCTAGCCATCCCCATCTCTTGCCTGCCTGGCAGAAGATGGTGCAATACGACTGCTAGCAATCCTCATCTCTTGCCTGCCTGGCAGAAGATGGTACAGTACGACTGCTAGCAGTCCGTATCGCCTGCCCGCTCACCATAAGACGGTTCAATAGGACTGACTGCAGGACTAAAGAGAATGACCTGGTCAAGTCACTCCAAATTTAGTCCCTGCGACCATGTCTGCCCAGGCGCTCCCAGCCGACGCGGCCAGGAGCACCTCGGACACGACGAGGACGACTACCAATCGTATTGCACCGTCTGCTGCCAGAAGGCAATGGGTTGCTGCTACTGTGCAGCAAAGCCGTACCGCGTCTGCCAGCACCCAGGAGACATAGGGTGACGGTTACCTGAGCGGGCTCCATGCTTGCTGTGGTATGGCGTCTGCACGGGTAACTCAGGAAAAAAGGCGCGAAATGATTGTCTGCCCTTGCTTTCACGGGGGGAGGGAGGGAATGGGGGGCTGACGATATGTACCCAGAACCACCCGCGACAATGTTTTAGCCCCATCAGGCATTGGGATCTCAACCCAGAATTCCAATGGGCAGCGGAGACTGCGGGAACTGTGGGATAGCTACCCACAGTGCAACGCTCCAGAAGTCGACGCTTGCCTCGGTACTGTGGAAGCGCTCCGCCGAGTTAATGCACTTAATGCACTTAGAGCATTTTCTGTGGGGACACACACACTCGAATTTATAAAACTGATTTCTAAAAAACCGACTTCTATAAATTCGACCTTATTCCGTAGTGTAGACATACCCTCTGTCAGTGTGCTCCACCCGAAGCCTCCAGTCCCAGACCTTTCTGACAGGAGCTCAGCCCTCTAGCCCTGGCTTCCTTCACTTTCAGGGTCTCTCTTGTGCTGAGGGAGAAGGCAGTCTATCCGCTGCTCTCCTCCAGAGAGCTCCTGCCAATTGGCTGGAAGAGAGGGGAGCCCTGATCCACCACAGCGTTCCTAATCCTGGGCCCTTAAAAGAACGGTCCTGACGTTTTCCCCCCCTATCCAGCTCCTAATTCTATAGGGTGGCTTCCTCTCTTCTGCTACCAAGCCATTTCCTTGGCCTTTGTTCTGTCCAACTCCCTGGAACAGTGTCTTCTGGCCCCTCTACGCTTACAGGGCCAGTACATCCTGTTGAAGACTTTCATATTAACTATTCTCAGTGTACAAGTCAAAGAGATTCTTCCAACTGCAGCTGGTGTTAGAAAACCAAGGTGAGCTCTGTCTGCCTCCGAAGCTGATTCTGCCATCAGGACCTAGCTGACTGCTGTCTGCAATGCACAAGGCAAAATAGAATTGTGGTCACAATCCCACAGTTATATTGAATTGGCAGTGCTAACAAAATTAAATAACTTGTTTTATTCACTGAAGCATGCAGATTTGACTCAAAGATATAGGGACTCGGTGTTAAATTGCATTTTAGGTAGCTCCCTTTTTCACCATGATCACACTTACTGGAGGGCTTTCCCGTCTTGGCTCCAGATGCCATAACAACCATTTGTAGCCTAGGGACACCCCTTCCTAAGCATTGTTTTGGCTGGCAGTCTGAAAAAAAGGTGAGTGAAAAATGAAAACTGCAACTTATATTTTTACGATCTCTTCCTTTACAATAATGGCGAGAACATACCAATGCCTTTTAAATTAATATAACAAGAATGGCTAGAGACAGGAAACCCAGGAGTCTGTGACAAGGAAGCAGTGCTCCACATTTGAATCAGTGAGAGAAGCTGGGTCAAGTTCTATTGGAAAATGCTGCTTCTTAATCCAACATTGGTTTAGCTATGAATATGGTAGATCATTTACTGCATGTTTTGTCAAGTACTATTAGAACTTTCCTTTAAACAGTTGTGACAGCCTCCAGCTGTGCCCCATTTGCTCTCCCACTCAGTTGCTAATTAGTTTTTTCTTTATCACCAGTGGTGGCCCAGACTGTCTGCTTCCTCATGGGAGGGGATGTGCCAATTATGGTACGTCTACACTGCAGCTGGGAGCATAGGCGCCGATTCCACGGATCCTCTGGGGCTCAAGCACCCACTGGAAAAAAAAAAAAAGGAAGTGCTCCACGCCCACAGGGCTGGATTAATCTTTTGTGGGTCCTGCGTGCCCAGACCATGGCCCCGCCCCCTGCTCTGCCCCGAGGACCTGCCCCCACTCAACCTCTTCCCCTGGAGGCTCCGCCTGCCGCTTGCATTGGGGTCAGGGGGTGGAGAGTGTTGTACTAATAAAATAAAAACCAGCAGGATCTTAAAGGGAAAAAGGCAAAATACCACGTTTATTGTGAATACAGAAAGAATCATAGTAAGCAGTTAGTTACAGCTGTAACATTCCATTCAATCTCTTATTTATTCACACATTCATTCATACACACACACACGGGTTCTGCAAGGTTGTTATCATAGTAAGCAGTTAGTTATAGCTATAACATTCCATTCAATCTCATATTTATTCACACACTCATTCATACACACACACACACACAGAGGTTCTGCAAGGTTGTCATCATAGTTACCAGCCTTAGAGTTGTTCATGCCAAGCCACTGGCCAGGTGGCCTGGACATGAGGAGGGAGCAGGGCCTTGTCAGATGCTCATCTGATGCTCCTGGAAGTTGGTTTGCAGAATCAGACCTCGAAGTTCTCACTTTTTAGAGTCTATTTTTATAGGAATTTCTTCCTATGCTAGTCTATGGGAATTGCTTCATCATGCTGTTGCTGAATCAATCAGCAGATAGCACATTCCTGACGGCTCCGTGCTGCTAGATGTTATCTTGTTCTTTGGTTCTCCCATTCTTGAGGCTGTTGGGTGGATTCCAGTCTGCCCTCCGGGGGCGTGGGGGGCTCCTCTGGTTATTTCCACTTGACGCCTTCTTGACGTCCTTCAGCCGATGGACACTGGATTCTTAGGCTGGCACCTCCCTGATCATTCAGTTATTATCCACACCAAGCATCCATCCTCTATCTCTATTTTAATCACAATTGTTAA